TTATGTATTAAATAAAGTTTACGACTTTTAGAAAATTATCTTTTCAAAAGATAAATGCATGTTTTAAGAGAAAATTATAAAATAAATACCTCGAATCACATAACTAGAGCCGAGAGATATCAACAAAGGAGTTATCAATTTCGAAATAATATTTAAAATTATTATCAATCGCGATAAAGCCAAATATCTTAAGTACATATTAAGGCTATCATTGACAAAGTACGTAGTAGTATACGCACGGTTTAAACAATCGAGTGTTTGTTAAGTCAGCATTAGATCGATCGAGATTTTCTGTCGCTACCAATTAATTACTAATTAATTATGCATTTGTAGAAATACTTACGATACAAGAGATAAACAACAGTGCCGATAAGCCACATGATCAATTCACAAAGAATTTATTTACAAAAAAACAAGACTTTTTTATTCCAAACCGCAAGACTAGGTAGTGAAGAGCAAAAGGTATATAATAAGATCATTGCATATAATTTATTTAGCACAACAATTATTCATGTAGATAGTATGTTTTGAATTTGATATTAAAATACAATCATTTTTTCCATCACACTTTCCATGGACAATTCCTTGCATTGTATTACATCTGCACAATCTTGAAGATTTATTTAGTACACAGAAATTATGTAACGCATATTGATTATAAATCTATATGAGATAAAAAGATCGATATTTGCATAAATATTATGTTGCAGAAATTTATAAGAACGTTTTTTATGCGTAAATGTTACTGAATCATTATCTTGGCTGGATACTTGAAAAATACATTTCTATATTCTTCTTTTAATAAAAATGTTTACATAAAAACTTTGCATCGCAATATCATCTCTGTATCTCCGGTACAAATATGCAATAAAATAAAAATACATTTATTTTTTATATCATATAGAAACTCAAACTATTGATTGAATCTATTAGGATTTTGATTAGTTCAAGTGTTATTAATCAATGATAGAGAAAGAAAAATCCGCTAATCTAAAATACTCTGAGCATCTTTCGATAAGTTATTGAAATCTATTTTTATTTTAAATAAATCTGATTGTGTGTGTGTGTGTGTGCAAAATAAATCATATAAAAATATAAATAAATAAAAATAAATCATCCTTTCTCAGATATTAAATTCAGAATTTGTTAATACTTAATTCAAATTATGTATACATCTTATATATAATATCATTATTCCTATTATCATCATTCTCTTTCCTTAATTAAGACATTTTATTTTAATCAATTATTCTCTTTCTTAAATTGCGTTTGATTAAGCGATGAATTTAATTTCCTTTGTAACGAAATACTTATATTCTCGTATTGTAATTTCTGTCTCTCTTGATGTGTAAATATAGCTTACACCGAAATCATTGCATCTTCGATATGCGTGATCTCCCTCGTGTTTACGCGTTTTTACTTATATGTCCCGCTCGTCTTACTCTTACTTATTTTTGTCAGTGACAATCAACTAACTCAAAACATCGATATACGCAGTTTTTTCAATAAATTCAACTTTCTCTGCCTTTCATCTTGTTTAAAACGTCTGGCCTTGGTCGACTTTTGTCCGGGCATCAGTGCGCGTTAGCTGAGCGATTTTTCTATCAATATTTTATCACTTATTGCATGTTCCGCATTTATAAGTGCATAAAATAAATGCTTAGTGTATTGTCACTTTAATTAACGTCACTTATTAATTTTGTGTGTGCATTGATCCTCTAAATCATTTAACAAAATTGCAAAAAAGGGTCAGCAATACATAGATCAACGAATATATCGTGACGTGATTCAATCAACATGAGCTACTTGATCTACTGCACAATGGCGCTGATAATATGCCTTAGTCTCTTCTACGTATACGTCAAATACAAGCTATCTTATTGGAGCAGACGTGGTATTAAAACTCCTCCGACTCACCTGCTCTTTGGTAATTTCAAGGACTGTCTCACCTTGAAAAAACCACCAGGTGAAGTGATGCGCGAGATCTACAACAGTGCCGATCCAGACGATCCCTACATTGGTTTCTACATCTTTCACAAGCCCATGCTGCTTCTGCGGGATCACAATTTGATCAAACAGGTGATGATCACTGACTTTGAGGTCTTTCCAAATCGACGTTTTGGGTCAGGAAACCAGAGGGATGCGATTGGCCTAGACAGCATTCTGTCTATTAAGCAGCCTAGGTGGAAATATTTAAGAAGCAAATTGACGCCTTTCTTGACGGGGCAGAAACTGAAGAATATGTTACCGCTTATAGAAGAATGTGGAAAGCCTATGTTGAGATTCATCGAGAACTTATCGAAGTCTGGCCAGAATAATTACGAAATGAAAGATTTCAGTAGTCGTTACGTTAGCGATGTTATCGCCTCTATTGCGTTTGGTATCAGCACAAATTCATTTGACGAAATGGAGAATGCTTTCTGGAAAAATGGTGAGATTTTATAGTAATTTATAGTCAGCTATTTAGGATCAATTGTTCCAACTTCTTGATAAGTCTTACCTGACAGGTAGCTATATCTTGGTCTCTTTTTTATAACTTATCTGAAAGAGACGAAAAAATGCTACCTGTTGGGTAAAACTTAACGAGAAGTTAATCATTAATATATATAAGATTAACGTAATTTGATTACTTCACTGAAATTAATGATTTTAATATGACACAGAGTTCTTATCTTTGTTATCTGTGCAAAACATGTAAAAATTATAATATCTAATGTGTTAAATTGTTTCTATAAATTATACATTTTCTCACTGTATGTAAGATTATAAATATATAAATATTACACACTGATTAGTACTTTATATACAGGTATAAATATCTTCAAAGGCATTAAGCGTGGCATACTGTTTATTATCGTCTTCTTCATTCCTGAATGGTTTCCTCTAATTGGACCATTTAATAAAGAATTTGCGAACTATTTTCGCGAAATTTTCTGGGATTCTATGAACACCAGAGAAAAATGAGATATAAAAGAAGAGATTTAATGGATGCTATGTTGAAGCTTAAGAATGGAGAACAGAACCCTCTTTACAGTAAGGATTATTATTCACTTCTGTCTATAAAATAATTTGAGCATTTAATTAGCATATAGAACTTATATAATGTACACATAATACAACGATATATTAATATCATAAAATTCAATACAATTCTCCGTATATATGTATTAAAAGAGAAATAGAGAGAAAGCAGAGAAAAATATATTCTTAATTAAAAATTAATATTATTGCTCGGTGATATTTATCATAGAATTTGAGGGCGACAATTTAGTGGCACAGGTGTCCAGTTTATACGTTGCTGGATTCGAAGCAGTTTCGAACGTGATCGCATTCACCCTGTATTATTTAGCTCGTCATCCGGAGCATCAAGCTACTTTGTACGACGAGATACAAACACACCTAATGGAAAAATAATTAACGGTGGACTTAATTAATGAAATGTGTTTTTGGATTGCGTTATATTCGAATCGCTGAGATTACATCCTCCTCTACCCATCGTTGACAGAATAGCTACAAAAGATTACGAGGTGATCAACGCAATCTTATGAATAACTGAACAGGTTCATTACGCGCTATAATTATTCCTCAATTTAATTATTATGTGTATTCTCATTTCTGTAGTTACTAGACACTGGGTTAATTATTGAAAAGGATTGCTCGGTGTACGTATCTGTAAATGCAACGAATCAAGATCCTAAATATTTTCTGAATCCGCACGACTTTGTTCCGTTAAGACCAGAGACAGAACCAAATAAAAATTTTATGAATCTTTAGGATTCGGCATCGGACCCAGATCATGTATAGGTCAGTTACAAAAATATTGTCAGATAAATTTTTTTATATTTTATATACATATGTATGTATATCATAAATGGATATAAGTTTACACAATGTTTTAAAATTTCAGGACAGAGATTGGCCCTGCTAATGATGAAAGTGGCGTTGATCAGAATTCTTTCAAATTATATTCTTTGCTATAAAACGGACAAAAAGATTAGCTCAAATGGCAATGATGCTATTCACGTATTTACGTATGCAGCTGATGGTCTTTATGTGCAATTTAAAAACGTTAATGCGCATGAATAAAAGTCCGAATGCGCATTTAAACATTTTACTATTATTTGACATAATAATAAGTATCATTAAATATATATATATATATATATATATATATATATATATATATATATTCGTGTAATATATATTCATAGTTTACGAATATATATTATTTAAAAATGCTTTAAAATACCATAGAAATTTGACTGCAATACATTAATTAAACGATAATGAAACTATAAAATTTATTACGCGTTTAATAATATTGAATAAGTGATTATTTTTCAAGCATTGCGACGTATCGATCTTTAATGCGATAATATATAGTTTATTTAACTCTTATTATACAAAATATTACATATATATTAGAAAATTATATTTTAAAGAGAAGATGCAAAAACAATATAAAAAGAAGATTGTATATTTAGAAATATAAATGTACAAAATATGAATATATCTCTTTAAATAGTGTAATACCTTAAACTCGATATTATTAATTTATTGTCTTTTATACGTACTATATGAATAAAGAGTGTACGATTTCTTGTAAGTATATTCAGGTAACTTTATATGTTATATAAAACATTCGTCATATACATATATGTTAATATATGTTAATTTTCATAATAAGGCACTTATTACTCGTTCACTATTTGTTCTTTTCTAAAATGTATTTAAAAATATTAGATTTATATCGTGATGCCGCACTTGTACAATTTTATGCAAAACATCACAATAGAATAACAATATTAAATTAAATTATATCATATTGCAAGTAATGCACATTAATATTCTGTGACAAAGAACATCTCTTTAAATATATTCTTGTGCATCTGTATTGATATGTGCATTATATATTCTGTACAATTAAATATACCATTATTTCGCGGAATTAACAGTTTATATTGTTAATATTTAATAGGAAAGAATTACTTTTAAAAGATTTGCAATCACTGAATGTGCATGTCATGACAAAATTTACAATTATACATTATAATATAACTTAAAGTTTTGTTTCATGTTTCACTCGTGTTCTGAGTAATTGACTCGGTCTAAAGACACTATGGGAATTATTTGAATAACAATTGTTGGACGTAACATTAGACGCGTCGCATTCCAGACTAGGATCCGCAACGTCGTCATTCTCATTATTTTCATATAGATGACACCTTTGCAAAGCTTTGCTGTGATTATGACTGTGATTGGTCTTTGTTTGGATTTGCGCTTCAGAATCTGTCTCGTCTTCGTTATCTGCACTATCTACATCGCCTGGAAGTATCATTATCAGTATTAATAAAAATATAATCTACAATAAACTAATTTAAATTGTAAATGTTTACAATTTCTATGCGATATAACATGAAACAATATAACTACAATAAGCAAAATGCATATTTACCGTCAGAACTATTAGTAGACGGTAAATAAAAGCGCGAAGGTGGCAATTTATTATTTCCCGAGCGACGCTCTCGTTCTCTCGCGACGCTGTTGGGATGATTATATTTAAATTCACGAGGAAGTGTGTAACTTCTAGGTAACGAGACTTGGCTACCCTCCATATCGCTAACCTCCGCCTCTCCTTCACCCTCGCCCTTGGGACTTTCTTCGGTACCGTTTTGATTTGCGTGTAATCTGTGACGAAATAAATAAATTAATCAATATATTTGAATGTGTATACATTCGACGCATTCGATGAATCTTTCATTACCTATGACTAAGATGTCCAGATGGAGACCAATGAGAATAGTGATGTGGAAGACATCGCGGTGCTAGTAATATCTCCGGTGTATCTGCTCGTTCTCGTTGAGGCACTGCTCTCCATGAATTCGAGGAATGCGGATTAGGATAGTACGAAGAAGAAGGTGGCGGAGGTAAAAGATAGTGCATTTTAACAGATGGCCAAGATGACAATGTACCATTTTGTTCGGAAAATGATGGTGGAGACGTAAATAATGGAGAACTCGGGGATGTATGCAGTTTCGTGTTCGGTGGCGGTTGCTGATTAGACGCGGAAGGAGAGGATGAGAAAGAGGATGTAGAAGCAGATGGAGGTGGAAATAATTTACCTTCCTTGATCTCCTCCTGTATGGCTCGCAATTCGCGTAGCTGCTGTTGCTTTTTCTCCTTTAGTTTTTCCCGTATTAACGTGACATTTAACGAACCACCGAGTGACATATCAGTCTCATCTTTACGTTCATTGGAATTCTCGTTCTGTCGAGAGATTTGCATTATAACAGTCGCATTGTAATAAATATGATTAGCGAATAGACAAGTATTTGTTTGTACCTGTATGATGTTGGAAGATATAGGCTTTTTCCAGAACGGAATTAACTGCCGCGATCCATTAGCCACGTTAAGCCACTGTTTCGAATCTGCCACCGTCGTTATGGAATTCATTACTGTGCCTGTTTGCGATTGCGGCGGTGGCGGCGGCACAAAAGTGGTCGGTTTCTTCTTTTTGCGATTCGGATTTACAGCCGTTGGGTTCGCGAAACGGCAGTTAAAGACACCTGGTATACCGCCATTGCTTAATTTGACTTTTCTCATGCTGATATTAATGTTGACCTTTTTGTCCTCATTATAATCTATATGCTTCCCTTCCACATTGTCCTGAAAGTTTAAAAATTAAATAACAATCTTTCCAGGAAAAAAAATCTTGCATTATATACCTGATTGGACAGCGTAGTGAGATTCGAACCAGTCATCCTTCCACCAGACTCGTACCTCAACCTTCTCACGTGAAAAAATCTATAACAGAAAAAGACGAGTATGATACAAGAGCATCAATATTTATAATAAATTAATTAAATACTATAGTATTGATAAATACCTATAATAAAGACCCATGAAAAATATGCCGCCCAAAAATAAAACTAGAAGAACAAGTACTAAAGTAACTGGTTGTAGATGATGTTGGCGAGTTAAAAGATCAGCGCGATTAACACCGACCATCCATACGCCAATGAGTAAACTATTCTCCAAGAACATTACAGTATAAAATATCACCTGCAGAAAAATATATAAGTCAAGTTAATATCAACATAATATAAACTGTCTTGTAAAATTGTTTGCATTTTTCTAGATGTGATTCATCTGTTTCCATTTAACTAACCATTTTTGACGATGATTCGTCTCGTGTAGATTAACATATGCGAATATATATACAAAAGCGAGGAGAGAAGCGAGGAAAGTCTTTCTAAGAAGGGGAAGACGTTCGCCACCATGGAAGAGTCCGTCTGGCGTGAGCAGTAACCAGGTCAACATTGTTAACCAGTGCAGGGCCATCACGATTAACAACCATTGTCCGCCGTACAGCGAGGCGTACGTGACTAGTACTCCGACACGAGCGCTCACTGTACTCAGACGCCAGAATAATTGCGCCAGAACTCCCAACCATGTTAGCACTAAACGTTCCAGATTACGTAGTCGCGCGGCACCCTTGCTAAAGCTGGCCACTGCCCAGCACACGCTCCATAAGGATAGTCCCGCCGACACTAATGTTAGCTTCGCTAATTTACTGTCGTCCTTGCTCTCGCTTCCCTTTGGTTTCCCAACTTCTGTTTCATCATCGTTGGTAGCGCCGAAGAAGACGTACAGTTGCAGAAGTAACATTGGAGCGGCCTCACAGAACGCGTGTATCAACCTTAGTACACACAGCTCCCGCACCTAGAACAATGAAACTCGTATAAGAAATCGGTAAATTTACTCTCTCGAATCAGAACTCCTTCGTAATAAAAATACATATGTACCTCGTGCTTCACATAAGTTAAATTGACCGGTATAAATAACTTGAAATATCTCCATAGTACACCGACTTGAGTAGAATGGAGTAATAGAACACAGCCTATAGTCCAATTGCCAATCTTATTTGTTGAATTTGCATGGTAATCACTTGATGCATTGTTATTTGTTAATTTGCCCCTAGCTCCCCAGAGATACCATCGCAAACTAACAATCTGCAAAAATAATACAAAGATAACAATAAAATATTAAGTAAAATAAAGATAGTGTAGAATATTTTTATTTGTTCATAGATACTAACTTGAGAAATCAAGAGAGAAGTAGCTATAAACGTAATACTCAGTGGAAACAACACAGGTGGTGCTATTGTTTGATGGGCAAGGGCATATACCATTGCAAAGTCGAAGACAACATCGCAGAAATAAGATGCTAATGAAATAATATTAAACAGTACATCACACAGAGGCAAAAATTCATGCTGATGTTGTGGTTGATGACACTGGGCCATAATGGGCTTTTATTACCCATTTGGAATATTTAACAATAATTTATTTTATTTTCATCAATCAATCATGGTCTCTCCTCTCTGTAAAATAAATATATAAATATTATAAATTGTGCAACAAGAGCATTATATTTCTGAGACATTATTATTAAAGATATCTATATTCATAGAATAATAGACAAAAGAAAACAATTAAAAAGCAATAAAATTCTTTTTAAATGTTTATGTATATAAAATTTAAAAATTTATTTTAAAAATTGATTCCTCAGCCATAAAATAGAATTCAATCAAGAATGTAATTACATTTTTATCTTTTCATATTCACTCTATTTCTTAAAATTGTAATAGAATATATTATAATATATGTATATTTTAATATTTTAAATAC